TTAGTAATTAGGGCTTTATCAATACATATGCGCTTTCGTTTGTACATATTGATCATAGAAGATATCCTTGTCATGGTATTTCTCCCCAATAGTACATTTTTAAAGGGTCATTAGTTTGGTTTTGTTGGGTGTGCGACTGTATATTATCTACATTTAACACTTTGACATCATTTGCATTAAAGTGGCTAAGTTTGCCTGCCCATTTGAATAAGCTTCATGTGGCTGCCCTAGCAATTGTATTTTTTTTATTTTTTTGATAAGAAACAAAAACTTTTGTTAGAGAGAGGAAAGGTTCAACGATGCTGGACAAGAAATCCATGCAATGGTAAAATAAAGAAAGTAGGGGTATAAATTACAGAAGAGAACCATCTTTTTTAACAACACGTCACAGTTCAGTTTTGATGGATACAAGAGAAATGGGTACTCGAAACACTTTCATAGCCAAGATTTGTTTCTCTTAAACAAATTGCTTAATAGTTGATGTCAATCTCCTCTTCATTCTAGAACTAGACACTACCTCTTGGCTAAGTGATCTTTCTTTCCTTCACCTTTTTTTTCATAAAAAATCCATCGTCATCTTCTTCACCATTTTTTCTATCTTTTCTAAAATCTTAACCAAAGATTTTGTTTAGGCTATGATTATATTATAAGAGATCTTGTGGTACTGATTTGAGAGATTTTATTGTATTTTTGACGTTCTATCTTTATTCTATTATAGTATAAGAAATATATTTGTACTGGATTAAATTATGGGGATTCAATATTATATGTAACGTGAGTAGAATGGAGAGGCTTATGAAAGTCAGTAAGGATTGATTAACTCAAAGATAGAGATTGAGAAGGAATAGTTGGGAGATAGTGAAAAGAATTAGTGTTAATGGAGTTGGTGAATAATGAGATATTAAGACTGATATAAAAGTAGAAGTCTAGGTGCGTGTGAGTAATGAAGGGGATTGTAAGACTTGTCGATTGGAGCTCAAGATTGAAGGCTGAAAACAAATGTCTTGAAGATATAACTCTATCTTAGCTCAAGTATTATATTAGTCTATGTTAGATCACATTTTGTAATTGGTTAATTTCGTGGAGTCCATTATAAATTTCAACTTTTTCCATGATCATGATGTTATCAAGTTAAAGATTTGAAAACGTCATTAAAGGAAGGAGATTAAGCATCAAAGCAACATATTCAAACTTTGTCTGCACCTTCATGCTTAGGACAAATGTAATGACTTAGATACCTAAGATGAACCATTAGTTATTTTTAATTTAGAATAATTAGGATGAAAATGGAATTGAAAGCAATCCGAGTGGGGCTCCTAGGTATTTTGAAAAGAAAAGTTTTTCTATACTATTTTGTGCTTTGAAAATATAGATTGAATAATTATTGGACCCCTCTTGAGCAACACCCTTTAGTGCTCAAGGGGACAATTTTTTTGCTTGGTTTTATGTTTTAAAACCGATAGGGACTGATATGTGCTCGACAGTCTTCACTTAGGCGGTCTTTTTTATGACTTAGGGAATAAGATGAGAAAAGGCCACGGAGGAGTACATACAGCTCATGGTCACTCGAGCGGTCAATGCTCATGGTCGGGATTGAAACTGGATTTTCTTTTTAATGACCACTATCCTATGCCTGCCATCCCATTGATCTGGCGGTCATTCGAGAATCAAAATTTTCTTGTTTACCAAAACTGTTCTTATTTTAGATCTATAAATAGGTAAAGCTTTTCTCACAAGTAGGTTAAGCCTCTTGCGAGATTTTTAAGAGAGAAAAATTATTTTCTATCGTGAGAGTTTCTATCACTAACCTAGATCCTTAAACCTAAGACTACCATTAGAGACTCTACTCAATTTTAAAAATTGGAGGTTAAGCATCTTGTGTGCATACTGAGAATCATTGGCGGACCAAGGACTTTGCTTCTAAGTTCTAACTGAAGCCCCACTTATATCAATGGCCATTCTCCCAATACATTCTAATTTGTTTGTTATCCTCTCTACATTGCTCATATGGAAATTTTTTGCCTAAAAATCCAAACTTCTATTTGTCTCCTATTAAAAAGCAAATTATGTTATTCGCAATACACCAATTTTTCCCACCCAATCAAAAAGTCCAATTTCCATTGCCTTGATTGGTAGGCAATTGACCAACAAGGGTAGCATTTGCATAATATATTATCAATTATGCTCAATTGCTTCTTTTTCCATCAAAAGCCTCTTCAATTCAATAGCTAGCTATTGTTTTCGAAAAAGTAATGGTAATTCGAATTGGGAGGAAATTCTTCTACCATGAAGGACAAAGTTTTATTCACAAGTTGAGCTTAAGGATAAAGTGCTTTGGTGGACTTCTCCGTTGTTTTTATAACAATCGAATTTAAGGAGTTTTGTAGTTTCCCTAGTGATCGGGTTAGTGCAGTTGTTTCTCGACCTTAGAAAATGAGCTTTGCTCTTGCTTAAAAAGTGTCCACCCTTGAGAGAGAGAGAGAGAGAGAGAGAGAGAGAGAGAGAAAAGGAGGGGGCAATTCTCATTAGACTCTTATGGTTGCTCTCTTGGTAAATTTGATTAGTTAAGAAATGAAGGTGTTCAGTCCTAGGCATTCTAAGTAGATACTATTCTTGCATTTTATAGGCTAGTCATGCCACCCAGTGTTATTTAAGGCATAAAGCAAACTGCTCACTTGAGGTTTAGGCGAGAAGTGAGAGACGAAGTGAACGTTTCATTGAAGCGAAGCGAACAGTTTAAAAACAAGCAAATATTTTAGTTTAATTATAGAACAAATGATAGAAAAACATAACATATTAGTCCAAGAAACATATTGAACCTTAATGATAAAATTCCAGAATATAATCAAATAGAATAATAAATAGGAATGAGCATAACACATAACACAACCGAATAAATGAGCATAACACAGCAGAATAAGTGAACATAACACAACAGAACAAATGAACATAATAAAACAAATGAGCATAACACAACATAACAAATGCAAAAAAATAGAAAGATAGTTCTAGCAAATGAGAAGCAATAAAACCATCACAATAAAAAAAATGAAATAGTATTCCATCAGACGTAGAAAATGTTTACACAAAAAAAAGAAAAACAGAAACAGGATTCCAAGGGTTCCAACAGAAGCAGCATCATAGAAAAAAAAAACAAAAACAGAGTTCCAGAAAATTAGAAGAAGAAAGGGGAAGAAGTAGAAAGAGGAGAAGAATCATAAAATCAGAAAATTAGAAGAAGAAGAAGAAGTATGGGAAGAAAACATATCGTCACTATGAGTATTTCAGTCTGATTCTAGAGGAGTCTAATGCAGTGAGCTTCCTTGTCATCGGTGAGTGTCACGAGAAGGGAAAGAATCACAAGATCAGAAGAAGACAAAAAATCAAAAAATTTTGTCAAACGATTGCTTGTTTGTCTAGGTTCGCTTTTTTCTCGTTTCTCTTGATGTCTCTTTGCTAGGACTGTTCTAGGCGACCTGAGAATGCCTTGTCTCGCCTAGGCGAGCGTTTAGACGCACTTTTCAAAACACTGATGCCATCAAATTGGGAATTTATGTGTGGTCATTTTATTTGATAAAAAATGGTTCTCATCAAGGTTGTAGTATCGTATGATACGTGATACATGTCATAAGAGATATTCCAATACATAAGGTATATGATACAACTCACTGAGTTAAACCATATGAAATACGATGCTCATTGGATACTCGATATGTATTCCAATAATTCTTTTTATTTTTGGCTATGTCTTGGCCTCTTGGATATGAGTATCCAAGATGAATATGGTTTGTATATGGTAATGAAAGTGGATATGCAGAATCATGTGTATATTGTTTAGTTTTAATTCTATAGAGTATGGATGACATGCAAGATTTTCTGAAGTATTATATATTGACGCATGTCAAAATAACATAAAGTGGATTAGATATGCCCTATCTCTTGGCAATAAGTACTTCTAAGCAAACCAATTGGTTAAATGTTGGCTTTGGTTTCCTTAACTAGTCACACTAAATTTGTGGATAATCAAATTATCAATTTTATTAAAAATATAAAATATATTGGGTAAATTACATTGACACCCCCTGACATTTAGTTTTATTATATGAACACCCCTTCACATTTCAAAAATTACACTAAGACCCCAAATTTCGTCAAATAATGGATGTCGTTAGCAAAAGTAAAAAAATGACAATCATACCCTCCTTTCTGAGGTAAAAAAAACTCAAGTGTACTAAATTACAAATCAGACCTTAATTAAACGAATTTAACACTTAATTCAAATTAAACTTAACAGTTAACACTTAAACAAATTTAACACCTAATTAAAATTAAACATTATAATTTTATCACCAATTCAATCTTATCGATTAAACTAATAACGTTAATTTATTTTGAATTAACAACAACCTTTATCAAATTTCAATGATTATACCAAATTTACCTTGCTAAAATTATGTCTTAACACCACAACCACCACCAGTTTCCATCGGCATCTACCGCCCACAACGACCAACCCTTGTTACCTTACCACCACTCCCATCACACCAGTTTCACCATCCCAACTCCTAAGACTCCTACCCCAGTAGCTCCCACCATCACAGCCACCATTGCCAAATTTCAAACCGAATTTACCTCCTCCAAGGCACAGCCAACACATAGCAAAACAGGCAACCCAACTCAGCTGCCCACCCCTTTTAGTCATCGGCATCACACAAGAGGGGTGAGACAACTTAATTTTTCAGACCTAAGATCAAGTTCAGAAGTGTTTGATTTTCCATAGAGTCTAATTTTTCAATTTTTGAGATCTTTTTATTGATTTGGGTTCTTTAGATTTTTCAGATTTGAGTTCTCCAATGGTCCTAGAGAGAGAGAGAGAAAGAGAGAGATTTTGAAATTTTCATATCTAAGTTCCAGCCACCACTTTCTACCACCAAACCTCCGTTACCCACACCCTTTTCACAATTTATTGGCAAGGTCACCGACCTCAGGTGGAGGGTGCAATGGGGTGGGGGGTGACGGAGGAGCAACGACGTACGGGAGTTTGTGGGGTTGGTGGTTGGGTGCAATGGAATGGTCTCTGTGCTGGAAGAGAGGGGAACAAATGGCTAGGGTTGGGTTTGATTTGTGGGGGTAGTGAAGGGGATGGAGGAAGAAGATGATTAGAGTTAGGATTGAGGCTGGGGTTTTTGAGTGGTGTGGAGGTTTTGATTTTTTTTTTAATTTATTTATTTTGACTAAGTCAAATAGAGTGGTGAGTTTAATAGATTAGATATGGGCATTGGTTAATCTCAATGATATACAAGGGTAAAAAAGTCTTTTTAAGAAAATTGTTAACGTCGGTTAAACAAAAGGGGTGCGGCTATCACACGTGTTCAAATGTTAAGGGGTTTCAGTGTAATATTTAAAATGTGAGGGGGTGTCCGCATAATAAAGCCAAATGTCAGAGGGTGTGAATGTAATTTACCTAAATATATTTTGTTGTAGGCGTATTCCGGTCGTATCTGTATCCTATTTTGTTAGGTTTTACCGCCTTTTTCTTTTGGGAAGTATGTTTCATTTTGTTCTTTTTATTTCTCTACTTTGACAGAAATTCTTGTTTCTTGTTAAAGTAACGAGGTTTGCCTTTGTATTTTAATTTTCTCCCCATGTGGTTGCTATAAGGGCTTTATTGAGCAGCGTTGAGTATCTTTCAAAGAAACCCCATAAAATTTGTATGAACTAATATTACACGTTGCATATATACTTTACTTGTCAGGTAAAAGAGATCTTGATTGAGGAATCAAATGTGCAGCCTGTCAATAGTCCTGTTACAGTGTGTGGTGACATCCATGGCCAATTCCATGACCTGATGAAACTGTTCCAGACTGGAGGTCATGTTCCAGAGACAAATTATATTTTTATGGTATACTTCTTGTATTGTCTGTTTTCATTTTCGCAGTGCTTAATCTTGCTGCTTTGTTTTAGTTGTTACTTGGTGGTTGCATTGTAAAATTTCCTATTTCCTTGGCAGGGAGATTTTGTTGATCGTGGGTACAATAGTCTAGAAGTTTTCACGATTCTTTTGCTGCTCAAAGCGAGGTATAGACCTGGTTTTTGGGTGTGCCTCCTTGCTATGGAATTAATTGCCATGAGACCTTAAAGATTCTGCTAAAAACCTCAGGTTCATCCAATTAATAGTCATTTTGGATTAAGGGGTTTGAAATGTGTGTCAACATCATTATAGACTGGATTCCAATGAGACCTTACTTCAGTTTGAGATTGTAAGAAAAATTACTTGGAGTTCAATGGTACTAGAGATGGGAGCCTTGACCCTGTTTCCATTCAAAAGGTGAAAGAGAAGGTCAGCCGGGCTGAAGAGTAACAGCTAAGATAAAAAAAAAATTAGCATCATATTGCCTCTAACACTCCTACTGCATTAAAGAATAGTTTGGGCTTGAAATTTTGTTGCTAAATTAAAGCTGGATGTCCCTCTTTATATTATCTGTTCATGGAAATGAAAAATTACTAGTTCAAATCACTATTAATGGTGATAGTTTTGATCCGTTATTGTTGAAGTGGATGTCCAAGTTGTGAGATTTATGCCTGCATTCTCGAGTATAATTTTAGTTTTTTCCCTTTTTCTTACTCCAGGGTGAATTTGAATTCGTGTGCTCATGTAACTTGAACAAGTTTTTGTTTGGTTGCTTGCACATAAGAGACTCAATACCAATTATGTGCTACAAAAAAGAAAACCTTCTCATTGTCTATTATCACTATGGTGTTCTATGCATAGTTGTTAAATCACAATTCGTATTGTGAATCGGAATCCTAAATTTGAGAATCGTGAATTGTATCGAATCGTGAATCGTAAGGTTCGATACTAATTTTGAACAAAAATAAAAAATAATACTAACATATTTAAAATAAACAAAATATTGAATATTGAACATTATTGCATTCTAAAAATAATCAATTGACATAATCACATCGTCTAAATGGAAAGACGTAAGCCTTTTATTTCATTTTCATCTTTTACTTAACCATTTTTAAATTTAACAATTTGAAAAAGAATTCATTAAAGAGCAATGGTTATTCAAGAATCAAAATAGTGACACCCAGTATAGATTAGGTTACAAACATGAATAGAAAAAGAACAAATAAAAAAATTGATCGGGAGAAAACATACTGGCCAACATTTTGAAACAAAGAATTAGAACCTAACAAATTATCCATGAAAGAATTGAGAGCAAAAATCAACCGATGATGCGAGAGCTTTAGCCGTGACCTTTAACTTTAGACAATGCAAGATGAACTTTAGACACATGAGAGAGAGAACGAGTAAAGAGGTTGAGTTTTTATTAGGGTGTAGATTCCTCTGTAAACAAAATGGCGTGGTTTTTCTGTTTAGTGGACAAAACGACATCGTTTTGCTAAAAATTTGGGTTTTAAAAAAAAGTGATTGAATCGTGCAATTCGTGAGATGCGAATCGAATCGTATGAATCGTTCAATTCAGTTGCGATTTAACTCTAAAACGATTCTCATATAAGATACAAATCGTTTTGTACCTGTATTGAACCGAATCGTACGAATCGAATTGTGAATCATACGATTTTGATAACTATGGTTCTATGTGTAAAGGAGGGAGGAAAGTATGGATCATCTTTTTTTGCCTTGTTCCTATGTTTACAAATTGTGGAGTAGGTAATTGGGACAATTTGGTATTCCTTGGGTGAGTCCGAAAGATTGTTCTTCAATATTTGAGATTTATTTTGATGGCTTTGGTCAAAGCAACAAAGCTAAGATTTTATGGAAAAATGAACTTTTACCCTTGTTTTGGGTGGTATGGTTGGAAAGAAATGTGCGAATTTTTGAAGAGCGAGAGATTGGTTGGGAAGATTTATGGATAAAATTACTTTAATGGCTTCTGTTTGGGTTACCACGATGAAGGGTTTTGAAGGGATACTTTTCTTTCTTATTAAGGATCATTGGCCTCAAGTGTGTGCCGATAGTTGAGAATTGGGTTTTTGCTATTTTGTCTCTTTTGCTAGGCTTACAGTTCTGCTGTTAATCACTCTCTTATTTTATGTATCTTTTTTGTATGTAACTTTTGTTGGCAGGGTTTTTGCTATTTGTCTCCTTCATGTTCACCACTTAATATGCTTTCTTTAGAAGGTAATATTGTTTTTGTTGTATATTGATTTATATGTGTTTTTTCCTGGTTCGTGTTTGCTCCCAGATACCCTGCCAACATTACTCTACTTCGTGGAAATCATGAAAGTAGACAGCTAACACAGGTAATTTATACTGTGACATCTTTGGACTATATTTTCACATTGCTGATAAGCTGATGTGCGTTGGATGGTCAGTAACTGTTATTTTGAAAAAGCACAAGTGCAAAATTGTGATATTTCTTTACACCCATTAGAGGCAGGGATCTGTCTTTCAAAACATCTCAATGTGCTGGGACTAATGGGCAGCATACTTTGGAGTCCTATTGTGTAGATATCTATCTATTACACCTATGGTTATGGTATGATATTGTCCTCATTCTGTCTCCCTGAAAGGATATTCAGAAGTTTCTTAAGCTGGAGATCTAGGAACTGGAGACACTGCTTTGATGGTCCATAATGTCTACCTTGTGTGTTATTTAGGTTTAATTAATATTGCTAAATTAACATGCTGCTGTTGGATGAGTCAAATAATTAAGCATGCCCAGGATAGAGGTACTTTTTGACACTACTTTGCTACTTAATCTATAATCCTTACCTTGCTGTGTTATTTGGATTTTATTACCTTTGCTAAAACTAACATGCTGCTGTATGACATCCATAAAATTCCTCAGTTTTGGATGGGTTCAAAATTTAGGCATTCGTAGGATAGAAAAAATATCTGCAGTTTCACTTACCAATTGGACCATATCTGTTCTGTATGTTTTTTGATGGATCAAGGATGCTGTCAGTTCCAGTCAGAACTGGAGTACTGTTACCAAGTCATACATGATGGTTGATTGTTTTTAAGGAATCAACAGTACATTCCATGTTGAGTTGAATAGCATTATTTGAATTAGTGAATGTTTGTTGGGTCATACTAGGAACAGATGATGATCTAGGCCATTGCTGCATTGGAAGTTGAAGGTTGCCACCCTTTGAACGATAGATTTTTCATGAAGATGTAGGTAGCCCTCCAAAGGCATAGAGATACAGTCATACAGCTTACTGCACATGGGCTTGACTCTCGACTAAAGGTATTATGAAGAAAAGGATTAAAAGTTTCAGGTGGGCATCCAAGAAACTTTTTTCTGTGGCCCACCGGTGTTGAGGATATACCGATTTTCTTTAAAAAAAAAAAAAAAATGGTTCGTAGGCACAATTATGCTTCAGAATACTTGGATGTGATTGAAAATACGTGGATATTAGTCCTCATTAATGCTTTACCATACCAATTGCATTGCCGTCTTTTTAAATTTGCAGAGCTACCTTGGCACAAATTGAGAAATGGTCCAAATTGTTTACTTGCCGAGAAAAAAATGTCATTTGCAATCTGTTGGTGCTTGTTATCGCAGGCTAAAAGCAGACCCTATCTAATTACTGTGGGCGTCTTATTGTATGAGATATTGTTGCACTACAATTGAAATCGCTAAGAATTACGGATACTCTATTAAGGTCGACGTATCGGTATTGGATATCGTATTGGATATGATAGTTATTGGATACTCGGTTACATATTAGATATGCACCAGACATTTATAGTAACTAGTTGGTGCACAGGTGCGTTTCACGTGGCCTAGGTTGAAGTATATTTTTATTTGAATGTTTTAAAGATTTATACTCTTCAAGTATGAGTCCTGTTTCAACTTGATTCTTGAAATTTCAATTGGAACAATCAAATCCTTCATGTTTTAATTGATTTTAATACCATGACAATGTTTTCCAATTTTTTATTTTTGGTATTTCAAATTTAAAATGAAAATTTTGTTATTAAATTGGACTGCTTGTAATTTGTGTAATTGGGGTGGCTGTTATGGATTGAGGGTGGGATGGATTTATAATTGGCACATAGGCCCTTTGCAATTTATTAAACATTTGGATTTTATGACTTTTTGTGTCCCTTCATTTGCACTAAGCTCTTTTTAACTTCCATAACTTTGATTTGTAATGGCATACTATTTATCATGAAATATGCACCATTGATGTAGTAAATTGTCATTGTTTAAATCAAATAAGATAAGACAATAGGGTATGAGTGGGTATAAGAATCTAAGTAGGGATAATATAGGAAATTGAAATTTTTTCATGTTAAGATACTTTTATTAGTAATATAGATAAATATAATATCTCATGGATATGTATGTATCCAAAATGATTATGCTTCAAATATTGAAGTGAATTCATGGATCAATTTATAGATTTTTTTTTTTACGTTATCCTCTTCTATTCATATCTAATGCAACACATAAAAAATCATATACCTTTGAAGAAACTTGAGTAATCCTAGAATATTAATAGTCAATTGTCAAAAGAACATACAATAGAGATAACATCATAGTTTCCATAATTCCATATGGGGTGGGTTTGCAATCCAGATCACCAAAATATACGATCCAAAATTGTACATATAGCACAAATATAAATACATATTAACGAAGTGTATATAGATTTATAATTATATAATATTTTAGATAATAAAAAATCGAGCAGAAATGTAAGTTAAATGGTAACTGACTTGGTGTTTATGGATGTTCTATGATATATAATGTTGTATAGTGGTGAAAACGATCTAAATAAAACTTCCAAAACAAATTTTGACCCAAAATACTGTACTAGTTAAGCCTACTCCCATCGTACCGTGGATCAAAGAAAGTATCGTACTGCGTACTTGTACCCGTGTCGTATACCAAAATGACCCACGATCTAGGTAATATTGGATAACACCATCTCAAGTCCTTTCGCACCCTTGTGCCCCATGGTCTCTTATCAAGAATAGTGGAGTCCCTTCAAATTCTTTTGAAGTAGATGCTCATGGAGATGCCAAAAAAAGAGATCTTTTGTCACATTTCATCCAAGAAGCCACGCCTTCATTAAAGGTTCTTCCATTTCTCTCCAACCATACCACCCAAAACAATGCCATTATCGCACTTTTCCAAAAGATTTTAGCTCTAGTGGTAGAACTAAAACTATCAAATTTCATAATGAACAATTCTCCACAACTTCTCGATTTCATCCAAGGAATCTCAAAAATTGACAATAATCCATGCCATAAAATTGAAGATATAGGACAATGTAAGAACTAATTTTCCATGCACTCCCGCATATTTAAACATAATGCCCACTAATATGGACGAAGACAAAGCAATGACCTTCTTATTTGAATCACGTCATTGGTGTTGAGTTTCTTATGCACAAGGAACCATGCAAATACTTTCAAATTATTTTTGAGGACTCAAATTGGAAGATTAGAGCTTTCAATTTATGAATCAAAGAAATATTTGCAAGATAAATCCCCAAAGAAGAAAGAAACCAACATCTTTTATACAACAAGATTGATGCAAAGCAATGCTATCAAGAATGGATAAGAGAGAGGATAACTCAACAGTTTCTCTATCATGCAAACTTTTAAAGAAATTAAAATTCCAAGAAATCAAGTAAAAATAAGATGCTACCAATACTTGCAATGGAAGAATTTTGGGCTCTAGTCAATCGATACAAACTAAGAAAACATACGAGTAAAAGAAGATTCACCCACCCACACATTCTCCCAAAACCGATTTTTCTTTCCATTACCCACCACAAATTTGACATTTTTGGAAAAGAGAGAAATTGCTTGAGAAATAAACTTTCAAGGACAACAAGAACACCCTCTTTGAAAATGACAATTGCTTATTTTTGTATTACTATTCAAGAATCTACTGAAAATTATAATTATGAAGTTGTCAGATAATAGTAAAACTATGAAATATATTCTTTTATAGAAGTATGTTGGCTGTATCCACATCCGTATCGTATTTTGTTAGGTTTTGCTATATCTATGTCCTTCGTAGCCGTATCCGGTATTCATATTCGTGCTTCATGGAAACCCTTTAGTGAATTCTTTATGTCATTCTAAATTCTTATCACCTGAAGTCTAAGAACCTCCGTAGGATGGATAAGTGCCAAATCATAAAAGGATGCTACTTACATCTGATTCATTGTTATGGAATAAGAGCCTTAATTTCTAGACCACAACGCAATAGTTACCCTGACAACACAGGTGAGAACACAGAACTTCTGATTAAAGTTGTATTCCTGATCCACTTTCTATTTTGACGAACGGAGTCACTTTTGCAGTACTTGATGAAATAAATAGTAAGCTTTCTTCTGCTAGTGGGATGAATATGTGGGAATTTAAATTTTATACTGATTGTCTATCGGGACAAAACCCTGATTTTCCTACTGCATTCCCAATTAAAAATATTTTCATGATATTTGGTTCCACTTGAAAAACTTTATTCGAAATTAACTTCTGGCGTTCAAAACCTAGAATGGTAAAGCCATAGAGGAGCTTGATTTTTAGACTATGCAGGGGATTTCTGTAGCATAGTGTAACACTTAACTACTTGTCTTACTCCTTGTCTTCTGCCCTTTTAGCTTAAAGAGATTGAATGTGACCTCTCGGTTCATCAATCTATCCTTTCTCTCCAGAGTTCTAATTTGCACCTGTCTTGTTGACCATGCTGAGGTTTAAGCTGGGTTCTTCCAACTGTGACGAAAAACTTATTTCATCAGTTGTCTTCTTTTTAAACCATTTGAGAGAAGAGTCACTTGATTTGAATATATTGAAGACAGTGGAGCTCCAAATGTTTGGCCATAAAATGAACCAAGCTATACGGCTCGCTAATAGCTTGTTCATGCTCATTCAAAAATTAATCAAGCCACGCTTGAACATTAGTCTGGAGCTCGTCAAGGATTAAAATTTCGTTTCGAAATGGTTGAAATAACTGAATCGTTCTGTTTCAAAGGAGACCGAAATGAATTAGTGATGGAATTAAAATTCTAATACTTCAAGGTGTTTCAAGATATTTGGTATATTTAGACAATATTTTGAAAAAAAAAATTTTAAATTTTTTATTCGGTTCCATTATGTTTTCGAAACAGGTCGAAACGTTTTTGAAATAAGACGAAATGTTTTTGTTTTCATTTCCTTTGTGACCGAAACAATATATTGAAACAAAATTTTGATTATTGGAACTCGTTATGACAACGAGGCGGGCTTGATTATTTTTGTACTTGGGTCAATTAGGCTTGGTATCTCTGACTCTCTCTTAGACCAATGGGCTATTCAGTTAACTGCAATGGAATGTAATGTAGTTCATGGTCTATTCATGGCCACCTTATTGTCCATTACATTCAAACTATAGTGAGATAAACATGAGCCATGTTGTTTATGTATTAAAAAGAAATGTACACTAGTCTTATGTTTGTTCAACTCAATTGAAAACTGCTCTCATATGTTCTTGCATATTAACCAATAGGAAGATGACAACTAAACAACAAGGCAATTAATGCCGATTCTCAGTGACCACGAGTATAGTACTATGCACTGAGCCAGCAAGGTTTTCTGA